CCCCCCCCCCCCCGTGCGGCAGCAGGAGAAAGCTAGGGAACCGTGTCACCTAAGAGATTAAGATGAAGGTCTAAAACTAAAATAATATAGATTGTGCTGGCAGACATCAGAACCCTGGACTTTGGTTAAATGACCAGTGCAATAAAAGTCAGAAGAGAGACAGCCTCCCTCGAGCGACAAGTATGGGATGGAACATGGAACGTGCCACGAGGGGGTCTAATTGGCTTGGAGGTGGCGGTGGTGGTGGTTTACCCGGCTCTGTATTTCTGGCTCAGCTGTATGGCAACACGTGGTGGATTTAGCACAGCCTACTTTTGTTTTTATTTTAAAGGAGTTGAAATGGGATTTATCACAGAATGTTAAGCGTATCTTAGATGGAGAGGGTTACTTATAAAGAAGCACGGAAGCAAATCAATAATGACCAAGACCTAATAAAGCACAAACATTTAGAAAGCGGGAATACCTGGTGCAGGCCATGACCGCGCTCTGTGTGTCTCGGCTGGAGAGCTGGCGAGAGCGGCTCAAGGGCAGCAGAGCTTCATTGGGGTGGAGGGGCCACCTCCCGAGGGGAGAGAGAGAGCGTAACCGTCCCCCCCCGCTGCTGCCCCTGAGCCCCTCCCTTGATGGGCGGACCTGGCAACTGCCCAGGGTGGTGGGCTCTGCCAGGTGCGCTCACCTCTGGAGCATCTGAGCTTGGAAGTGTTCAGGCTGAGTCTTCATTTGGGCTGGGCGAGGGCCCCCTTCTTGGATTTAGAGTGATTCCTGCCCAGAATCCAGACCAGGGCTCAGAAAACTTGATGCTTGTTTTTCCACACTGACTTGCTTTGAGAGGTGTCCAAAAGGGAGGCACATCTGCATCTTTGAAAATGTGTGAAATTTGAGGATTTCCAGAGCTATATCCACGGATTTCTGTGCTACCCACCTGTAGTTTGCTTTATTTTTTTAAAAAAAGTTGTTTTGCATCTGTCCTAGTGCACTACGACTTGTATTTCAACATTTGTGATTTCTAGGCAGTGATTCCCACCGTCTTTGCCCAAGAAATGGCTGTTATTTCATTCGTCCATCCAGGGCTGGCTCAGGTCCACCGAGGGGCACCGTGCTCTTAACAGTCAATGAATCTCAGTGACTCTCGGAGGGACCGGAGCACGTGGCTGCGTGGACACTATGCTTGGGCTCTCTGTCACGGGACCGGCTGGCCTGCGTAACTGGCCTGGTCTGTGGGTCCTCCCACAATCTGGAGTGTGCTTGTGCGAGAGCTGAGCCTGGACCGTCTTTGCTGGTTTTTCACTCCCAAACACCACCTACTCTCATAAGTTTTTAATTTCATTTTAGAGAGAGTTTTTTACAACTGCTCTGCACCATAATGTTTTCCTGACTGATGTTTTCAAAACTTTGTAATGCAATAGAACAACAAATTCAAAGGGGGAAATGCCCCTTTGAATTTGTTGTTCTATTGCATTTCAAAGTTTTTTTTAACCAGTCTTGTTTTACTGTGTATATTTCTCCGGAGGGCTCTGGCTGGGAAATGAATCAGTGCCTTTGGCCAAGGGTCTTCCCCCTGACGAGAAGGGGCAGCAGTTCCCCCTTGAACGCCTTCTGGGGGGGGGGGGAAGAGAGAGGACTTGTGCTGCCGGTGGGTACCTGCTGTGGCCCTGCAAGGCCTGAGCCTTGCCCCCCTCCCATGACCCCCACACCTGACGACGACCTTTTTCCATTGCCACCTACAGGCCCCCGAACCAGCACCACCTCTCCCTCCGCGTGTGGCCTCTGCCGTCCCGACCCCAGCCGAGGCTCTGCCCGCCACCTCCGCATCGCCGTCCACGGTGCAGGTTGTTCTTACCCCTTGCTTCCTCCACTTGCCTGGGAGCGGGGCCTTTGGCTGAGGAGCTCACGCTGCATGCCTGCCCGGTGTGGGGAACCTCGTGGGAACCTCGTGCGCTGCGCCCATTCCTTCCTCGGTGGGCTGCAGGAGGGAGTGCTGGCCCGGCTGCCTTTGGAGAGTGGTGGGGCCGCTCCGCGCCTCTCTGCCCCGGGTGCTTTCGGGACTGGCCTTGCCAGGGCGCTTGGCTTCTAACTCTTGCTTGTGTGTGCCCCCCCCCATTAAACCACCCAAATGGTGTTGCATTGAAGGGTTCCCTGTTTGAGCCTTTTAAAACTTGAGAGGTCTGGTTCGGATTGTGGAAGAAGACGGGTCCTCTCACAGAGACAAAAGCAGCATAGAAAGAAAAGGAGCACGAAGGAGGGGTGCAGGGACCTTTGAAATGCATTTTAAGACCTTTTCAGGAGGCCATGTTTGTTCAGCGGATGGCTCTTACCCCTCCTGCACACGCTCCAGATTTCCTTGTGACGGAACTTAGGCTTCTTGCATTGCCTCGGTGCGTATTTCGGAACTGAACCAATGCAGAAAGTGGTGATGAGGAGGGCGAGAGGCCCTCCCACCGACAGGCAGGTGGGTTGCTCTCTGGCCTCCTCCTCCTCACTGAACAGGGAGCAGCGGAGGTGGAAATGGCTGTGCGGGCCAGGGAAGGGTGGGATCTTAGCAGGAGCGGGCCGCGTCTAGCCAAAGCCAGCATTCCTGGCCTGGCCTGGCCTGGGGTGGGGTGGGGGCCTGCGGGAGGTTGCCCATACCTGCCACAACCGACTCTGCTGGCGGCTGGCTAGGAGGGACCCCAGCTGGGGAGAGCAACTCCTCTGTCGTTCATTCGCCTTCCTGCTGGGTCGGGTCCTCCTGACGTCGCCCTAGTGAACGAGGAACCCTTTCTTTTAGTGGGCACTTAGATCTCCAGCTCCATCATGGGCTGCCTGAGTGGGGTCTCTTTTTTAATGGAGGGTTGTGCCTGACTGCTTTGAATGGGGTTTGGGTCTTGCTTTTGTTTGCTGTCTATTAACGTGGTGTTTGTTTGATCCTTTTGGTATTTGTATACTTACTCTTGTTGGCTTTAAATATTGACTTCTAATGATGTAAGCTGCCTTGGGCCCTTCGGGTAAATAAATGCTAAATCAATCCGTCAGTCAGTCAGTCGCACGAAGAGCCGAGAGATCGAGAGGGCTCTCCGTAGTACTGAGCGTGTGGGGTCCTCTGCCCACTCGTGGGGCTGGGAACCTCTTGAGGAGGAGATGTGGTGGCGAGGGGGGGAGGCCTGCTCTCGGCGGAGCGCTGCCTTTGAAGAAAGAGCCACGGCCGGAACTCCAGCAGCATCGCCTCCGCCTTGCAAGGCCAACCGCATCACTTCATAGAGCAGTCCTTTCCGGTTCCCTGCCCCCCCACCCCCTGAGGGTCCATCCCCTTGGGATCCCCCTCGTTGTGGGGTAGCCATTGGGTGCCGTTGGTCGGCTGAGGCAGGGAAGGCCTTTAAGGTTTCATTGCTGGTGGTTTTTGGAAACCTGCCCTCCCCTAATCCCATGGCCCCCAGTGATTTCCCCACAAGGAGAAGACTCTTGAGGGACCCTTGGGACCCTTGGAGGGGAACGGGGAATGTTCAGTTTCTGAATAAACACAGGGGATGATGATGACACCACCAGCTCATCACGGCATAACGTTTGGCAACAGGATTTCAGCCCGGGAGGCACAGCAGGGAACCTCTGGGCGGCCAGGCAGAGAGGCCAGATTTTCATAAAGGTTGAAGCCATGGAACTCAGAGACCGAATCTTGTGCCTTGCCTCGCCGGGGCAAGTCAGGAGGGGGGGGTCAATGGCCGCTGTGCATGCCCCCCCCCCGGTTAAGGCAGGCAGCCGCTTATCAGCAAGGAGCACAAGCGCTGACTTCTCGACGGGTGGACACCACTTCGGCTTTCATTGATTACTTAAATAATGTAAGTCATCGGATTTTGGTCTGTGGCATTTCCCCCCCAGTGGCTCAATGGGGTGCGTCTGTGGTGGTGGGGAGGAATGGAAACTTTGGCAAAAATGGAAAGAAATGCACACTAAAAGATGATAAACAAAAGCAACACCAAAAAATACATTCAAAGCAGTAAGACACGATCATCAATTTAAAATCAGACTCAGGCAGCCAATCCGTTAAGGGAAAGCTTGCCTGAAGAGAAAAGTCTTTGTCTGCTTGCAGAAGGACAGCCGAGATGGTGCCAGCCTGGCCTCCAGTGGGAGAGAGTTCCAAAGTCTGGGAGCAGCCACAGAGGAGGCCCTTCTCCCGTGTCTCCACCAAGCACACCTCTGTCGGTGGTGGGACTGAGAGGAAACCCCCCCCCCGATGATCTTAACACTCGGGCCGGCTCATAGAGGGAGAGGCGGTCCTTGAGAGAGAGAGCCCATCTGGGGCTTCATAGGTTGGGACCGGCACTTTGAATGGTGCCCAGAAACAGATCGGCCATCCGTGGGGAGCTGCTGTAAGGGGAGCCATGAGATCCCCGTGTACAACCCCACTTAGCCATCTGGAGCCACTGAGGTTTCCCCACACTTTCCGTAGGCAGCCCCACCTAGAGTAGAGTGTGTTACAGTAAATCTGGCTGACCTTGCCACGATGGCACAGGCCATCGTGGCCAGGTCAGACCTCCCCAGGAACGGGCACAGCTGGCCCACTCGTTCCAGTTGTGCCAAGGGGCATTGCCTTTTAAAGCCCCCCCAGGGGTGTTGGGGGTGAGGTTATGGGAAAGGCTGCCTCCACCCATGAAGGCTTCCCTAGGGGTGAGCAGTGGGAGTGGGCGGGTGGGTTTGTAGGGCAGCCCACCGAAGGGTTTATCCCAGTTCCCGCAGGAGACGGGCCGTTCTTGGTGGTGCCCAAAGAAGCGGAACTCCTTCGAGGGGAGAGGTTGGTTGGTCTGTACCAAGGAAAGGCATGAAAAGCCCCTTGCTTCGTGTGGCTTTCTAGCTGAGGATTTCTGCCTCTTTCAGGCTTGATGTTGCTTTGAATGGTTTTGGTACCTCTGTAATGGGGCGTTCCCGACTAGCTCATGGCTTTCAAAGAAATATCGAAGACCGCTGCTGTCGCCTGCTCTCACAGCTGGGCTGAAATGCATGGGGTGGGGAGCGTTTCGGGTCCCGCCAGCAAAGCATGGAGGGCCCGCTTGGGCTTCGGGATGCGATGTGGAGTCGGGTCCCTTGTCCTCTTTGGCCAGGAGCAGCTTCTTCGGCCACTGCTTGGGCTTCTGCCGCTTTGCCACGGTCTTGTGCTTTCTGCAAAGCTTTGCTGGTTTGTCTTCCAGAGCAGGCAGGTGGTCCTGGCTGGGCCGCCTGCCCTTCAGACCAGTTGTTCCTGAAGTGGAGTTTTTAAGAAGTACAGCCTTTTGACAGGAAGGAATAGGAAGAAACCCTTCTGGCTAGGAAGGAGGAAGGAGTGCTCAGGTTTTTCCCCTCCTGCTCCCTTTTAGCTTCCGTCTTTCCTTCTTCTTAAAAATCACTTTCCAAACTTTGCTCTTTGAAGAGACTGGGTTTTCTTGACAGACTGGCTTTTCTTCTGATGACTTACTCTAATGTGAGCCTTTGTATTTTACATTTGTAGGCAAATCCCCCTCCGGTTTTGGTGAACACAGAGACTTCAGAGACACCGACTTACGTAGGTTCATCTTGATATTGGATTGCTTTGTCTGCTTCTGAGGGGCTCTTTGCTCACAGGCCCAGGAAAGCTCTGTGGAAGCGTGAAATCCATGGGACACGCCACTTAAAAGAAAATGAAAGGGGAGGCTTGGTGCGACCGAGCACTTGGGAAAGAGGCCGGAAGCGATTGCTGCGCCCCATTGTCTTCATATGACTGTTTGGGAAGCTCCCTTTTCGGGGCCCTTTGACACAAAGGGTGGTCGGGAGCTGCCTCTGGAGGTGCGCAAGGGCGCGCTGAGGAGAGGAAACCGTCCCTTTCCGGGAGGGTGTTTTTTGAACTTCTGCTGTCAGAGCAGCCACAGCGCAAAAGGGGCTTCCCAGGTAACGTTCTCTTTCCGGTGCGCATTTGCACACAGAGAGAGAGCTCCATCGGGGCTGCGCACGAGCAGCCGGCAGCCAATTTGTTTAATTCTTGTGTCAGATGAAGCCCGGCTCCTCGGTGTGCACCTAGGCGGGTCCCCCGCGCAGCGCGAACAAAACTTCGAGGGAACGTGGCTTCCAAGGCTGGGTGGTGGGACAGGACCGGGGGGGCGGCGGGTTTCATCTGGAATGGGAGGAGAGCCTGTGGGTGGTCACTTCCTTGTTGGAGAGCAGATGCCCCTCCTTCCACGGAAGCCACCTGTGGCCGTTGGGGAAGGAGGAGGAGGCCGCTCAACCTTCTTGAGAGAGACATCGGCCCACCTCACGTGGGTGTGGGTATGTTTTTTTATTCCTCTAGGTCAATGGCACCGACACTGACTATGAATATGAAGAAATCACCCTGGAAAGAGTGAGTAGCTGTTCCCTCGGGCTGCCTTGGGTGTCGGTGTGTGGGTCTCCCCACTCTGTGGCCATGTGGAATTGGAATTGCCCCACCCTGCTCTTTTCGGTGGGCCCTCCTCCCTCCCTCCCTCCTCCCTCCCTCCCCGGGGCTTCGTGTCCGTTCTTCTGAGGCGTTGCTGGGCCTTCTCTGGTCCCTGCTGGCTGAGCCGCAGGGTCAAGGGGCCCAGAGAGGCTCGGCTCGGTTCCCTGCCTCCACCCGCCCCTCGCCGTGTGGCTGGTTTCCTCGGCACTGACTGCCACCCCTGTCTTTTGCGGAGGCTGAGGGGAGCAGTGTGTGTGTGGAGTCAGCCCATGGCTGGGCCTTCTTCGTACGGGGACGCGTGCTGTGGAGGTGGCCCCGCCTGGCTTTCACCCTGACCGAGGAGAGCCTCTCTTTGCGAGGGCCTTGGCAGCCCAGGGGCACTGGAGCCGGCTCACCTGGCGCTTCTTGGGTGGAGGGTGGCGGTTCTGGCGCTGTGGGTGGGGGCGACTTTCCTCATTCGTGGTCCTGTTCTTGACCAGGGCGGTTCTCTCACCCCCACCCCACCCCCTGCCCAGTGAATTACCGACAGGCTGTCCTTTTCCCCTCCAGAGCTCAGTTGGGAAGCCTCTGAGCCCCTCCGCTGCCCAGTCCTCTCCCCTCGGTTTCAGGATGTGGAGGCCATAGAAACAGAGACGGGGCTCAGGACTGCTTGCCCAAACTTCGAGGAACCCGGGGCTCAGCAAAGCTCAGGGAGAGACCGAAAAGTTGCAGGCAGTGCCGTTGGCAGCCATGAGGCCGTTCTTTCACCGGGTGGTGGAAGGGGTGGTGCAGAGGCTGAATGATTGCCTTTAACTTCCAAATATGGGGGGGGAAAAAAACCACTTTATTTGGACATCTTGGTGGGGCAAGACTTGGTGGCACAGAAGGTCAAGTACCTCTAGTCGAAATCTAAGCCATTTAGACTTGGCCCACATCTTCACCACGCGTAAATTGGTTTCAAAACATGTAAAGAGAGACGGAAAGCGGAGAGAGCCCCGCGGCCTCCACGCTGAGGTTTTTGGAGAGCCAGACAGGCTGGAGGAGGAGGAGGAGGAGGAGGAGGAAGAGGCCAGCGACGGAGTCTCCGGAGGGTCGCTTTTCTCCCAGCCGATGGGGTTTTATCTGGGCCACCCTGGTTTTGTGTTTCAGGGCAACTCAGGACTCGGCTTTAGCATCGCAGGGGGGACTGACAACCCCCACATTGAGGATGACTCCAGTATCTTCATCACCAAGATCATCCCTGGGGGTGCAGCTGCGCAAGATGGACGGTTGCGGTGCGTCACTCTCTTTTGTTCCCCCCCCCCTTGCTTCCGCCTCAGGGTGGTTCTGGCAACGGCCTGGAAGGGGGAGGGATCAGGCGAAGCCCCCCTCGCAGATCCAAGCCTAGCCCTCAGTCCCAGGGACGCTTCGCCACCGACCTAAGAAAAGAGGGCTCAGGCAGCTCCTCTCAGTCAAGGCCGAACGCTCCCAGGCCCTTTTTCCCCCCAGAGGACTTGCTCCTCAGTCTTGGTGGTGGGAATGGGGCTTGATGGCCCGCTTTTGTCACCTTGCCCTCCTTTTGTGGGAGGCGCAGGAGCCAGATTGGGGAGGGGGCAGAAAGGGCAAGCCAGGGCAGGTCCTCTGGTCCATGGAAGTGTGGGGAGAGGCCTAGGGCCAGACAGGATAGGGCCTGGTTCTGAGCACCGGCCGGCCTTGGGTCAGGCTGCAGGCAGAGCAGGAAGCACTCAGGGAAATGTCCTCGGGAGGCTGCGTTGTACGTGCACGAGAACCGGAGGAGTTCATAGAGGGAGCGCTGTGCGCGGTCTTCGCCCTGGCGCCCTGGCTCAGCTGCAGCAGCTGGAGGTGTGCCTGGGAGGGGGACCCGAATCCTAACCCCAATGTTCTGGCCGAGCGCCTCCTTCCAGTTAGGTCTGCCCATCCTATACGATCAGCCCCGGGCAGGGCAGCTGAGAGTTCTGACCCCGAGAGAGGCCCGGAAAGCAACCACCAGAAATCGGGCCTTCTCGGCGGTAGCCCCACAACGATGGGACTCTCTTCCCCCCCCCGAAGTCCGCCTGGCCCCCCTTCCCCGGGCACCTTCAAAAAGCTGCTCCAAGCCTGCCTATTGAGACAGGCCTTCCCTGAACAAACCACACTCTGATACAGTAGTGCCCGATAATATAACTTCTGTCCTACTGACGTGCTCTTTTTCTATCCTTTTAATTGTATTTATTGTATTGTAATTTTATCCTCACTGCACCTTATGACTTTTGATTTTCGTCTCTATGAATTGATGTTGTTATTTGTTATTTTGCTATTTTGTTGTTTTATATTATTTGTTGTAAACCGCCCAGAGTGGCCTTGGCTGCCAGATGGGCAGTATATAAATCAAATAAATGATTAAATAATAAGAAATAAAAAGAAAGTTGTCTGAATCCTCCTCGGATCTCTGTTTTCCAATTGCAGGGTGAACGACTGCATTTTACGTGTGAACGAGGTGGACGTCCGTGACGTGACCCATAGTCGGGCGGTGGAGGCCTTGAAGGAGGCGGGCTCCATGGTTCGGCTGCACATCAAGAGGCGCAAGCAAGTCACGGAGAAAATGGTGGAGATCAAGCTTGTGAAAGGACCCAAAGGTTTGTGGCGGCCGGGGGGAGCCAGATGCCGCACCTCCCTGTCCCTGCTTGGCTTGCGGAGGCAAACCTGCAGTTCTCCAGGGGCCTCCCTTGGCAGGGAGATTGGGGGGGTGGGTGGTCTGTTCTGTTCTGTTGCGTTGGGACTGGTCAGTCCGGGCACAGGTTTTTGTGAGTCTTCCACAAAGCCCAAAGGGAGAGGGGTTCCTTCCTTCTCTGCTGGCGCGTCGTCCGTGTCCGATGATTGACAGAGCTCTCTGGGCAGCGCACGTACTGTAGGTCCTCAGTGTTGCTTCAGTCAGACCAGAGTCCTCCACCCCAAGCCGCATCCTTAGTAGGCTGAACCTGAGCCCCCAGGGGTGGCCTTGCGGAGGGGCCTGGGGTGTGTGTGTGTGGTGCTTGAGCGTCTTTTCTCTCTTGAACAGGTCTGGGGTTCAGCATTGCTGGGGGTGTTGGAAACCAGCATATCCCTGGAGACAACAGCATCTACGTCACCAAAATTATTGAAGGAGGGGCAGCGCATAAAGATGGCAAGCTACAGATTGGAGACAAGCTTCTGGCAGTGAGTGGAAGCTGCGTTTCCTGCTTCCGTCCTGGGGGGGGGATGGCTAATGTGGGTCTGGAAAGCAGGCTTTGTGACAGAAAGGTTTAAAAGGGGGAAAAATGGAAAATTTGGAGGGATTGCAGGATGGGAGGGGGGATGGAGGTGCTGGTGGGGGAGGGGAGAGAGGTTGCAGCCCTTTGCTGACTCTTTGCCTTCGCGGATGATTGAAAAGACCTAAAAGCAGCTAGAAACAAAGCAGCGTTATGGACTTTCCTCAGCTTCTTGAAGGCACCAAGGCAGTCAGTCCCAGTGCATCAGTTTGTTTGGGGTCAGATTTGAGTCAGCCTGCAGCGGAGAGCCCAGCGGCAGGACAAGTTTCGGGCTGTGACTTGCTTTAGCCATCATCTCTGAAAAAATCTTGAGGAGGTGGAAACAGTCCAAACAATTCACTGCAGAAATTGAAGAGATTAGGATTACATAACCCAGAGCAGCAGCTGCCGGGTGGAAGGGAGCCAAACGCCGCCGCAGCGTTCCTGGGAAGGAGAGACAACAGGCACAGAACCAGAGGTGGGGAGGGGGCACGGCGTTCCTGGTCCCGTGCCCAGGGGCCACGGGTGGCCCTCCTGTGCCTGAACCATCCAAGGGGGGCCGGCGTGGGCTTCCCCTTGCGAGGCCCTGTGCCGCATAAATACTGGATTGCTTCTTCTCGTCACAAATGGCTGTGGGGTTTCTCTGCCTGCCCACCCCACCCCATCCCATCCCTGCAAGTTACCCAGCTGCATCTTGCGGGATCCTTCACAAATGGTTCTGCGGGCTGGGGCAGCAGGGGGCAGGGGAAGGGTCAGGTTTATGCAGGCTTGAGGTCGATCACTGGCTTAGCGACTCAGTTTAATCATGTGATTTCCCTTTCTCCAAAAATGCAGGGTGAGGCCACTCTTGCTTGTAGAGGTAGAAAGCAAGAGCGGTCCGGTCTGTTCTTTCTTGTGTTCCATGCATTTCTCTTAATGCGCATGTGTTTCTGGAGACACAAACTGCAGGGGTTTCTGATTGTGCCTTCAAGACTGACTGCTGGACTGAGCACCTGGGGAGATAGTGGAAATAAACCACAGGCGTCTGTATAGAAACCCATGGAGACCCATAGAATGTAGGCCCCAATCCAAGAACCATTGAACCCTAATTTACTAAACTTCAACAACAACAAAAAGGATTGTAGGAGTGCATTGCCTTGTAATATAGAATTAAAATGCATAACTCTTATTCCATAATGAGATCTTCGATCTGCAGCACTATACAAATTATAGCTGTCGTGTTTTGAAAAATGAAAAGCATTTGAATGATAAACACTGAAAGAGCCATGGCATAGATTTAAAATGTGGCTTCATAGGAAAGATATGGCTCTTCCCCACTCTGCTTTCTTTTGCCAGGGCGGAGGTACAGCCACTTGCAGCTGGGGGGGGGAGGAGGAGGGCGAGGGGGACCTTGCAGGCCATGATTCGTCTATCCCAGACAGAGGGGAGCCCCTGGGACTCTTCACTGGATCCTGGACTATAGAGATCAGCCTGGCTTTCGGAGATCTGGAACCCCAGGCAGTAGCTAACCAGTTTCCCTGAAAATAAGACCTAATCTGGAAATAAGCCCTAGTTTGATTTTTCAGGATGCTCGTAATATAAGTCCTACCCCCCAAAATAAGCCCCAGTTAAGTGAAACCCTGCCCTCCACCTTTGTGCAGCAACCAGAAGAAGGTGACATGACTGTAAACTAGCCGCCTAGAGTGGTCCAGTAGGCCAGATAGGTGGGGTATAAATTAAATAAATAAAATAAAATAAATAAGAACATTTATTTATTCAATTTATTTATTCAATTTATATGCCGCCCACACTACCCAGAGGTCTCATCCCCTGAAAATAAGCCCTAGTGTATTTTTGGAGCAAAAATTAATATAAGACCCTGTCTTATTTTCGAGGAAACAGGGCAGACTCTCCCTATGCAATATCCGGGCTTGAGATTCGAGGCGGAGCGCTTTAGCACAACCTTTTGATGATCTGGAGAGCCAGATTAGAGAGAGTCCGGGAGGTCCTGGAGACACAGAGGGGGCCCGAGTGCCCCACTCGGTGTTGGCTGGGTGATCAGGGCCACACCTGCAAGCCCAGGAACACACCGAAAAAACACGCAGGGCTGGAGTGGTTTAACTCTTGCCTCCCTGCCTGCTGGGTTTTATAAAACAGTGGCTGAAATCTGGAGTAAAGTTGCAGGTAGAGCAACCTTGGAATCAGTGGGGGTTTGGTGAGTCACCGCCTCCAAAAGTCCTGTTGATTTAGTGGGCCTACTCTAGTCGTGGCTTACTACAGTAGGAAAGGAGAGCCCCCCCCCCGTGGCTGAATGCTTCTGCATTGCCTCTTGCAGTGAAAGAATGGCCCTCTGGGGAGCCCTGCGCACTCACTCCGTGCTGCTGCTGCTGCTGTCGTTCTTGTGTCCCATCAAGTCACTTCCAGCCCATGGAGACCCCGTGGATTGGGGACCTTGGCTCAGCTTTCCATGGGTCTCATGGTCTCTGTTTCCCTGGTTGGACAGAGAGCGGCTGCTCCCTTTTCCAGCATCTGGCAGCTCCTAGCCCTAAACCCCAGAGACCAAGAAGAAGCCTTAGTGCCAGACACGTGGATTACTTCCTGGGTGAAGGGGCACCAAGGCGAGGATTGCCCTCACTAGGACAGGCTGGCCAGGGATTCATTCTGCACACCTCTCTTCTTCTGTCAGCTGCAGAAGCACTGGGCCCTTCCCACCCACCCACCTGCTTGCATGTATCCCACCCAGGGCATTGTCCCCATTGATTTGTTCTGAGATGTATCTGTGTATAGCTGAGCTTGACTGGCATCGTGTACTGCGTGCTGGTCAGTGTGATGTTATTTGCCCTAATGCCTGATGGAGTTTCTGAACAGTTTTCAAAGATGTAGCTCAGGGGTCCTCAAACTATGGCCCGTGGGCCACATCCGACCCGCCTTGCCTTTCTATCCGGCCCGGCCGGCGGGCGGACAGGCATCGGGGGGCAGGAGTGTGGGCATAGAAAGTAAACGAGCTGGAGACTCGCTTGGGATGGTTGCTGTGAGCCTTGAGATGGCGACTCTTTCCAGCGGGGGTGGGGGCGGTTGCTTGGTGGCCTTGGGGAGGTTTTGTCTGTGTGTTTGTTTGTGTGTGGGAGTGCACAGAGAGGTAGGCTGCGCTATTTTGTGTGTGCACCTTTGTTTTGTAGAGAGAAGTCAGGCGGAGGGCACAAAGGTAGCCCTGGGCGGGACACGGGGAGGGGGGTGTCCCCTATCCCCATCTGCTCTTGGTGCAGGGACGGTGAGGAGAGCATGCCAAGCCAAGCCAGTCGGTGCAGGGAGGCAGGAGAGGCCCCACTGTGGTGGGCTCAGCCATGGTGACAGACAGCTGCTCCCTCGCTGTTGACAATGGCCAACATGCTCATGGGGCAGTGAGTGGCCCTCGCTGTTGACAATGGCCAACATGCTCGTGGGGCGGTGAGTGGTGTATGTGTGTTGCATGGCATGCGGAGGGAATAGAGCATGCGCACTGGGCCGGCCATCATGGCCTGTCCCCGCCTTCTACGGGATGGCTGTTGAAGGAAGACCCCCCTCTTCCTCCCGGCCTCCCAGACAGCCCCAGAAGGACCCAGCACTGGGGTCTTCTACGGGATGGCTGTTGAAGGAAGACCCCCCCTTCCTCCCGGCCTCCCAGAAAGCCCCAGAAGGACCCAGCACTGGGGTATCAGAAGACCAGCCATTGTAAGATCGAATCCATGCGACGGAGTGAGCTCCCGTTGCTTTTCCCAGCTCCTGCCAACCTAGCAGTTAGAAAAGCAAACAAATGCAAGTAGATAAATAGGTACCACCATGGTGGGAAGGTAACAGTGTTCTGTGTCTAGTCGCGCTGGCCACATGACCACGAAAATGGTCTACGGACAAACGCTGGCTCCATAGCTTGGAAACGGGGATGAGCACCGTGCCCTAGATTCGGACACAAAGGGGAACCTTTACGGTTACCTTTACCTTGGGGGTTGATGCCTCCATGTAAGTCTTTTAACCCAGATTGCCTCTTCCTTTCTAGCCCTCTGAATTGTTTGGAATTACAGTTCAGAAAACAACAAAATTAGCATTACGTTCATTCAATGCCGACTTAGACTTTTTTCTCTGAAGCTTTTTCTTTTCGAGCTGAAGACCAACCTATTGACTGTCTCTCTGTGAAATAAAGGCCATTGGTTGAGACCCTGGTTGAGACTTCCGCTGGGGAGGTATTTGGGTGGAGGTCTGCTCTAGAGAAAGGGTCCAGTTTTCGTCCAAGCAGGTGGGGCCTGCCTCCTGATCAGCAGCAGGTGAGGCAGGGGGTGAGGGCTGCTCTTTTTTCCTTCCCCTCTCAGTGGAGAGTTCCTTTTTATTTATTTATTTACAATATTTTTAGCCGCACCATTGCCAGTGGCTTCTGGGTGGCGTACAGCATTAAAACCTAAAAACATTAAAAACATTTTAAAAGACAATATAAAATAGCATATATTAAAATAATTCTTAAAACATTAAAATTAATAAGTCCTGCTGCTCATATGGTCAGCTAGGGGATATTGTTTAATTAAAATGCTGGCTGAACAGAAAGGTCTTTGCCTGGCGCCGGAAAGCCAAGAGAGTTGGAGCCAGGCGGATCTCTCTAGGGAGGGCATTCCAAAGTTGGGGGGCAACAGCCGAGAAGGCCCTATTTCGACATGCCATCCCTCCCTCCCTGCAGGTGAACAGCGTTTGCTTAGAAGAAGTCACCCATGAAGAAGCAGTGACTGCCTTAAAGAACACCTCGGACTTCGTCTATTTGAAAGTTGCAAAACCTACCAGCATGTTCATGAATGATAGCTTTGCCCACCCAGACATCCCCAACTGTAAGTTCGGTTTGTGTTCACTATTTTGTGGGTAGGCTCTTGTTGAAAAAGAAGGACGGCAACTTTTGTTTCCTTGTTGCTCTGTTTAAATTCCTCAGCACGAATGAGGCTTTAGGAAAATCCCTTTAACAACATTACTGCAAGAGTAAAATCAGAGGAAAAGAATGAAAAAAGGGAAAGAGAATTTTGTGTCGGTCAGTCAATATGATGATGTTGTGATTGGAGTATTTGTGCACATGAATGAGTCCATGCAGAGACAGTAGGTGGGAGATTAGGCTAGGCAGTGGTCACATTCTGCACTGAAAAGGGACACTAGAGCCCAGGAAGGCTGTCCTGGAAAATACTGTTTATTTATTGGATGGATGAATTTTATCTCCTGCCTTCTTTCTAGAACCAGAACCTGGTGTAGCTCATGGCAAGATCAAAGAGATAAAAAAACAAGAAATACATAAAAACACCAAATGTGGGTTGTGGTCAATGCAGTGAAACTTACTGTAAGATTAAAAACTAATTGTGGAATTAAAAACAGGTTGGAACACTGACAGCGCAAGCCTGCCAAAGGCCCCTTTCCTGGCAGCCATCCCATGGCTTGAAAGCCCCCGCCCAGAGGAAGGAGTTGTGCCAGCTCCCCGCTGCCCCCCCCCCAAATCATTGGATGCCTCTAAGGCTGTCTGAAGGGAGCAGCGGTGGCAGGCAAACTGGGTGCCAACCCAGACGGCCGTGGTGTGTTCCGAGAACCGCACCCGGTCGGGTATGCTGGGATGTCCTTTTGCTTTTGCTCTCGACCTTGGCAGGGCCCTCCTCTGGCAGCCTTTGGCCCTGGACGAGTAGCGGAGCCTCTGAAGCCATGGCGGACTTTAATCACATTTCTACGCCAAGGGTAGGAAACAAGGGCGTCTGGCAGAAAAATCAAGATGGCCTCTAGCAGACAGACGCCAACGCAGGATGTGGAAGAAACCCTTGACAGGGAGGAGCTTGAAGCTCATGTCCAGTTGCGACACCTGAGTCTTGCAAAGCATGGGGGGGTGGGAAGAGAGGCACCTAGAGCTTTCCGGAGGTTTTTGGCCTCTCTGGTTCCCCTCCTCCTGCCACTGCCAAGATGGGAAGGAACCTCTGCGGAGCACACACACACACACCCACCTTGGCTGTGCAGGGCTGGGCAGAAGAGCCTCCAGGTAGCCAACCCCTGGGCACACTGAGAGCTGGAGGTCCTTGGCCCCTTAATCCGTTTGTCTTCTTTGTTCTGTGATGTCGAAGGCGAGGTGGGTCATAACGATCAAGAACTTAAGAAGTTTAATTGCAACAGCAGGACTCGTACTCACAAATGGAGGGAATTTTCCATACGGGGCGCAGTAAATGGTTAAATATTTGTTAGACGGCTGCATTTATCTACACTTATGGCTTGTGATAAAAAATTGCCTTCTGTGGAGGGGAGGACAGAAAAGAACAGCCAACTCATGATTTCTGTGAACAGCTGGGATGGTTTTCTGTTACTGGAACGCATGTTTCGTGAAGAAAATATGTTTGAAAATAGTTCTCTTTGAATTCCACTGAAGTATTCCTACTTCGTGGCTATTGTTTTAAAATGGCTGGAATCTTATTAATACAAAGGCAGGAAGTCTTGGTACCTGTATTAGACCATTTTCTTCATGATCCAGTAAAGGTATCACCTCTACCTGCATTTGTATTGTTTTGAAGCCCATACGGCCTTGCCCCGATTTTTTTTTCCTGGAATCTTATTGATGATTTACTCAGGCATGAATTAAGTCACATAAGCTGCCGCAACAAATTGTTGCTAATTAAGGGGATGACAATCCCATTTCTGGTGGTGGGCCTGTCACACAACTAGAAGAAACGCACCCGCAGCTGCCCTTTGGGGCCATTTCACTTCAGGGCCTGTCCACGGTGGGAAGTCTTCTGGATGCTGGGTGAGGACTCTGCCATTTCCTGCTCGAAGGCTGTCCGACTCTTGAGGCGGAAAGCCACGAGCTGTCTAACTAGGCGGGCCCTCTTGTGCTCTTCAGGAGGAAGCTGTCGAGGGGGAGGGAGGCCCTGCGCAGCCTCCCTGTTCTACCTGGAAAGAGGATGGAGGGGCGCAGGGCGTCTTTTTTCTTCTTCTTCTTCTTCCGGGGACGGTGCAGGGTGTGTCTGGGTGGAGAGGCTGGTGGATGGGTCTTTGAGTCTTTCCGGCCCAGCTGTGGCTGAACAGCTTGAGAGTTTGTGGAGGAACAGCCAGACTCTGCCAAGCAGAAAGAGGGGTGTGTGGCGTTTCAGCATAAATCGTCTGCCCAACGGGGCTGAGCCGGGGTGTCGTCGTCGTTGTCGTGCCCGTGATGTGTGTGTTGACTCTATGCCTCTCTTTCCGCCTCCTTCCCCTTCCCAGCTTACTCTCAGCCCCTCGACAACCACGTCACTCCATCTGCCTACTTGGGGCAAGCTGTGCCGCCGGCGTCGCCAGGGAGGTATTCCCCCATTCCAAAGGGGATGCTTGGAGACAGCGAGATCACCAGGTAGGGTGGGAATCTACTGCCTGACTCTGACCCCACAGAGCACGCCTTGGTGTCCCCCGGCACGCTCAGAACCCCCGCCGGGAGATCGTGCCCCCCACCCCTCATGGGGGCGGTGGTGGGTTGTCAGATCAAAGTCAGGGGTTGCTCACGAGGAGTCACAGGGACGCTCTCCCACCACCACTGCCACGTGGTATGAGGGCCCAGATATCTTGCACTTGGTTTTCATGGGTGAGTGGAGTGGAGTGGTATCAAGAGGAATCCTAGAAACGTTGCCTGAACGCTGTGCCTGCCGGGAGTGCGGGATGCCTGGCACTGCCAAGGCGTGAGGTGGGGCCCAGACATTCCCTGTCACAGGGAAAGCACCGATGAAGCCCTGGCACCCCTCCCGTGCCGTGTTCTGACGGAAGAGAGAGGCTGAAGCAAGAGACAATATAGCCGCTCTCGAGATGAGGACCGTGCTGTAGGAAGGGAATGGGAAGCGGTTCTCTCTTGCGTGAGGGGGAGAGGGCAGGACTGGACCCTTAAGGTGGGGGGGGGTTATTTCTTGGAAGCAGAGCAAAGCAAAGTGGGCTGCTTATAGGCTGCCCCATAGCGCTTAAAGCACTCTCTGGGTGGTTTGCCAGTTAATTATGCAAGGTACACTTTGCCTCTGAGCCCCCCCCCTCGCCCCCACCACCCGTGAGGTAGGTTCTCCGTTGACTGACCTTGGATCCCTGGAGGCTGGAGCTGCTCCCTGAGCCCTTTGGGAGTCAGGCTCAGGCTGGGAGCAGGATCCCTGGGCTGCCGTTTAGCCGCTGCACCAGGAGGCTCCAGGAGAAGAGGTGGGGGCTCAGGGTGGGAGCAGGCTCAGGCGGTTTGTGCTCAGAGCCAGCAGGACCCTCCTTCGCCAAGGGGCCTCGGCAGAGCTCAGCCTGTCTGTGGCTGCTGAGCAGGCGGGCTTCGTGCCTCCTCTGGCACCAGAAAGAGACACCCTCTGTGTGGACGACAACGTTGTTGGGGAATGTCGGCGGCCTGCTTGCCTGTGTGCTGCTTGCTTGTGCCCCTGGCTGGCCACCCCGAAGAACAGACTCCGCTCCCAGATCAGTCCCTGGTGTGATCCATCCCAGCCTTCCTTCTGTGTTATGGTGTCCTTGTCAGTGAAATAATTGAAATTCACAAGGGCCTGCTTCAGAGCAGAATTGTAGGGGGGGGGGGGGAAAGCAGAGGGTCAGTTTTGGAGACACACAGAGAGAGAGAGAGAGAGATCTGGGGAGATCCGTGTCACCTGCCGAAGGATCTAGGTCTGGTGGCCTCTGTAGGGCAGCTTGCAAGGCTCTCGGCACAACCCTGGAGGATGGGAGGAAACCTTTAGCTGGGCTGGGCTGGGCAGGGAGCCTTCTCCCTGTTGAGGGAGCCTTCTGCCAGTGAAGCTGGTGGCTGAGCTGGGGCAGGGGCTGGAGGAGGTGAGGAGCCGGACACGACCCCCTGGCTGCAGGGCTGCTCCTCTTGCCCACGGTCCGGCGTTGGATGGACTCCCACTAGTGGGACAGCTCTGTGCATGTGGGGCGACCTGGTCTGAGACGTGCGAGCAGCTCTTCTTTCCATAGAACGGGCAGCAAGCCTTTGGTGCTCCAGATGTCTCGTGCGTGTGTCACAATCAGGTGCTCTGATGCTACAGAGCAGAATCAAAGCCATGGGCTGAGCCCAGAATTCCCTCCACTTTGCTGTTTTGTTTCTCATTGCTTTTATACACATCTTATATTTGTTTTCCCCCGATTCATAATAATAAAAGATACGATTTTCCCCCTGTTGAAATGTTTATTGAGAAGCAAGCATGACACTATCATTTGCACGTTGTCTAAAAGCCGATGGATTACCTTTCCATTTGCAATGGTGGCTTTCCTGACCTAGCCCTTGCGTGGCCACCCACAGACTTAACACCTGCCTTCTCTCTCCCGGCTAGGGAGCCGCGGAAGGTGATTCTCCACCGAGGATCCACGGGCCTTGGGTTCAACATAGTGGGAGGGGAAGACGGAGAAGGCATTTTCGTCTCATTCATCCTGGCTGGAGGGCCTGCCGATCTGAGTGGCGAGCTCCGGAAAGGGGACAGGATCATTTCGGTAAGAGAGGTGGGGTGAAGATGAGGAGCCTTTCGGCCCCCTTTCAATTCCCTTGAAAGCTAGGCAGTTGCTCTAGGGAGAGGAAGGAGGTGCTGGTCCCTGCCCTGGAGAGTCTGAATGGCCCCTGGAACCCGGGTCCTGTTTGCCTCCAACTGTGCTTTGGAGAGCCTGCCTGGGCTGCTCTTGGGGAGGGTGTGGTGGGGGCTAGTCAACCCGAGACACCTCCCCCCCACACACACACCCCAGGCCAAGCTCGCCCACCCCCACCCCTGGTGCCGTGCAGGAGAGCGCTGCTCTGGGTTTCCTAAGTGTCTGCTGCTTCTGTATTTGCTTGCAGGTAAATGGGATAGACCTCAAAGCAGCCACACACGAAGAAGCCGCCGCCGCCTTGAAGAATGCCGGCCAGAGTGTTACGATTGTGGCTCAATACCGTCCAGAAGGTGAGGACGGTTGCGAATTGATTAGTCTATCTTTATCTTATTAAAGTTTCTCTCGTTGTATATAAAATAACATTTTAAATGCAAAGGAGCACTAAAAATCCAGATAGGTTCTCCCAAAAACACAGTTAAGAAAAGTCCTTCCTCTCACCGGCCTGGCCCTCTTCCTGTCTGCCAGACTCCATCTCATTCCTTTGCAGACAACATGCCCTTTCGTGGAGGGCTTCTGCCCCCAGGGTGCTCTTCAGCCACCCTGTCCTTAGGCTTGGCCACCCTCCTGCTCCTCCTGGCCTGCACACCCACGTCCGTGAGTCCCAAAGATCCTTAAGGAGGGGAGCTGGCGGATTGCCTGTTACTGGTGGTCTTTGGTGATCTTGCTCCCCCCCTTCTACCCCCTTTTCACCCTAAGCTGTCCCAGCACCTGCCTGCTGCTCCTGGGACGGGCGAAGGGGATGGTGAGGAAAGTGGGGAGCTCTGCAGGCATGGAGGGGGGGACTCTGGGGAGCCGGGAGATTGGTGCCCCTTAACCCTCGGGAGCTGCAGGATCCCCGACAGCCAGGCGGGCTATTCCGTCCAGGCTGCTCCACTGGCTTGCCTGGGCTGCTCATCCTGGCTGCAGCATGGAAGTTGGGTGTTCCAGAAGAGGCCCATAGACTTATAGGAGGTTTAGCCCAGCATTCTAGGGGTGGAGCTCAACGGTCCATTTCATTCGAGGTAGACTGGATGGTCCAGCTAGACTTGTACCTAAACAGGGAGACCTCTGAGGAGTGTGTTAGGCCAGCGACTGCAACCCCTGGTCTCTGTCAGAACGCTCACTTCCTTCGGGTCCAGGGTTCTTGGTGTGGTCCTCTCTCTCCCCTGCTGCCTGCACCTGACCTCTTGAGGTGAACCCAGCCCCGCTTGGGACATGACCCGGGAGACACGGAGAAGCAGCCAGGTCTCTGGGATGCCATGGTCGCCATGAAGAAGCAAGGCTGACCGTGGGCACTCCCCAGGCCTCCGGCTTGGCGGACCGCTTGGGCAACTGGATTTCCCAGGGCAACTGGCGCCCCTGGGGGCTTTGCTCGGTGTGGGTGGTTTGCCCTTCTTTGTCGCTCTGTCTTTGATGTTTATGGTTTTCCATGACCCTCCACTTGGACATAAACAGAAACACGGGGTGGCTACGTTTTACAGAGGGAACATGCAAGAGATGGTCGCTCAGTCCTCTTCATGAAGCACAGGCTGGCGATTGTAAAGACTCTGAAGTGCTGGCAGCAGCAGCAGCAAACTTAGCCAAGTCCCGTCTCTCAGCAGCTGACTGGTCTTGACATAACTTTCCTTCCTCTCCCTGTTTGTCTCTCCAATTCCTTACTCTCTTCCCCCCCCCCCCAGAATACAGCCGCTTTGAAGCTAAAATCCACGACCTGCGGGAGCAGATGATGAACAGCAGTATCAGTTCAGGATCCGGTTCTCTGCGGACGAATCAGAAGCGGTCCCTCTATGTCAGGTGAGGCCGCTGTCTGCTCCGAGAGCCTCCAGGAGCGCTGGTGTGGGTCAGCCTGCCTGTGGCTGGTTTGGACACGCTGCAGGAGGAGGGCAACGGGGCTGGCTCTGATGATGGGCGGACGGCTCTTTCTGTCCCTGGGACCACATTTGACTCGAAAGAGGGAGACGCCTTGGTCCACAAGTGCCCGCCCTTGACCGCTGATGTCGGATCAGCAAAGCTCCTCTGAATCGCTCGTGTGTGGCTTTGGGGGTCTCTGGAGCAGCAACAGGAGGATTAGGGTTAGGATTAGGGACGTGGTGGCGCTGCGGGTTAAACCGCAGAAGCCTCTGTGCTGCAAGGTCAGAAGACCTGCAGCCATAAGAGCGAATCCATGCGACGGAGTGAGCTCCCGTTGCTTGTCCCAGCTTCTGCCAACCTAGCAGTTTGAAAGCATGCAAATGCAAGTAGATAAATAGGTGCCACCAGGGTGGGAACGTCACAGCATTCCGTGTCTAGTCGCGCTGGCCACCTGACCACGGAAGATTGTCTTTGAACAAATGCTGGCCCTACGGCTTGGAGATGGGAATGAGCACCGCCCCCTAGAGTCAGACACGAGTGGACAAATTGTCAAGGGGAACCTTTACCTATACCTAGGATTGGGTGCCTGGAGGACGTATCACAGAGGTTGCAGCTCTGGAGGGGATGCCGGGACTGCCCCCATGTCTCCCTGGCAGATCAGCTGTCTGCGTAGCCATTCCTGTCTGGGGAGTTTCCACGGAAGGCGGCCGATCTGCCAGTTGGCATGTGGAAGAGCAGCCTCCCTCCGGCATTGGGGAGGAAGGGGGTTTGCAGTTTCACCCTCCTGTTGCACCTGCCCTTTGCCTTTGGGGGGATGCGAGCCTGTGTGGACGTCGCCCGGCATGGCGAGAGGCATGGTGGGGGGGGGATGCCTCGTTTGCGTAGAGTGAGCAGGGATGGCTTGGCCGATGGGATGCCAAGGGTTGGCCATGCTCCCTGGCTCTCCGGGACAGTGCTCTGCGGCGCTGTGGTCAGGAGGAAGAAGGCGGCTTCTTCTTGGGGGGGGGCTCTGAAGCTCTGGGCTGCCTACCGAGGGGCCGCTGTGGTCCTCCGGGCTTCAGGCCAGACGCTGTCCCAGCCCAGGGGCTGAACACCCCCCCATGGCCAATCCGCCCCTGCGCTGTGGTTCTTCTCTGACCACCCCCCCCCGAGCTCTGCCTCACCTTGACCAAGACAGGACCTTCTGGCAAGGGGGTGAGGTGGGGTGGGGTGGGGAGGCCTGCTGGGCTTTTTCTAAGACCCCCCCCCGAACCCCCTGATACTGAGCACCGGGAGGTCCTGCAGAAAGGAGTCCATCCCTGGCCTCGGAGGCCCTCAGAAGAAGACTTTCTCTTTCGGTTGCTAAACTGGAGAGCTTGGAGGTTTCCGTGCAGGGGGGTCGTGTGGGCCTCCCTTTTGAGTCCACCTGCCTCGAGAACCCGTGGGCTGGAAGCAGGTTCGGCCATCTTGGCGCCTCCCTTGATTTTACTTGCCGCCGGAAGGTAGCCAAAGGAGATTGCTGGCTTGAAGCCGGGCGTCTGTGGCAGTCGTGTCTGTCCTGCACTAAGAAACATAAAAGTCCTGTAAAAATGAACCAATAGTCTGCCCTAATTAGTGTTTTGGAAGAGTATGGCAGAGGGATAGGAAACCTGTTTCTTGCTCTTGAGACGAAACCAGATTCCATTATTATGGAGACCAAGCCCTGTGAGGGAAGACGGAAAGAAAGGGCCTTGTTGAGCCTTGAGAGAAGAAGTCTGAGGGGGAGACAGGGGATCGCTTTTCAAATCAAAAGCCTGGTCTCACAAAAGGGGTCCAGATCCCAAGCTCGGATGGCGCACGAAGCGAAGACCCCGCGATGTGAGGGAGCCATTGGGCCCCGGCTGCCTTCCAGCCCTCCCCTCCTTCACCCGAAGGAGGTGGCCAGACAGAGCTGGGCGCTGGCCCTCCCGAGCGGAGCGAGACCTCCGCCACGCCTGTGACACCGGGGGGCCGGCGGGGCCCACGGCAGGTGGGTGGCACCTGGCTGGGCCGTGGCGCTCACGGGGCTGAAGGGCAAGGACCAAGAGGCAGGCAGAGGCCAGACGGGCCCTCGTCTCGCTCTGCCTGGGTGGGGGGGGGCAGAGAGCAATGGTGTGGGTGTGGGTGTGTGTCTGTGTCTCGGTGCCCCACCTCTCTCTGTGTGTGTGTGTGTTTCACCTCCGCTGTGCTTTGCTTCCAGACCCGGGGGACGTCCTGCCATGCCTTCCCCCCGCTGCCACCCCTCGCCCTCAGGGGAGCAAGAGGGTGAGCGATGATGATGGGGGCTCTCCTTCGCCTCCCTTCCTGGGCAGAAGTCCTTCCTCTAGGACTGCCAAGGAGAGCCAAACCAAGGCTGAACCTTCGGGAGGGCCGTGTGGTGCAAAAGAGGCCCGAGGTTGAGTTTGTCGGGGTGGGGGTGGGGGACGGGCCTTCTAGGGGAGCTATGCATATCTACTGAGCAGTAAGTCCTGTTAAGGTCAGTGAAATTTACTTCCAGCTAAGTGTGAATAGGATTTCAGGCTGAGCATGCAATCCTAAATACATTTAGTAGAGAGTAAGTACCACTGAAAAGCATGCAACTAAAAGACTGCACTGTGTGTCTGCTTGAACACTTGAGTTATATGTGCTGCTGAAACATCCTCTTTTGCTGTGTTTTGGCACTGCTCTGAGTTATGATGTTTACATTGAGTATCATACCATGAATCTGTTTTGTTATATTAGGTATGAGAAATCAGCATTTTCTGATAGGGGACACATAGCATCATTAAAAAATTCCTATAATGTACCACCCCCATGGTAGAGGCCAACAAATTAAGGAACTGCTTCTTGGCTGAGTGCTGGATTCACACATTGTTTTTCCCAGAGGTAAGCCTGCCCCAGCACTGTATGGGTGCGACGAGCCAGGGGAGGCCGAGTCGGTTGCTGAACCCTGTGTTTTTTTCTCCTGCAAGGAAGATCCGCCTGATGGTCCAACATCTCTCTGTGCAACCTTGAGAAGATCACTCTCTTACTCTGTACTTCTCCTTGAGTCCCACAGACCAGCATGTTGAATAACGTAATCCTCATTACAGAATTGTTGTTGGACTTCCAGATGGGACTGTCGCACACGGTCTTTGCAAAGGATAAAGACTCTCAGAAATGCTGCAGAGCACGATGCCTGCTTTCATGGCTTTAGAAGTTCTAGCAGAGCTTTGAAGGGGATGTTTCTGATTTTGTTCCCTTTTTGATGGAATTTATTATGCTGTGGCGGCCATCATGGAAGCTGGGAGGAAGCAGCCGGAGAAGAAAGCCTGGGTCGTATCAAAGCCCCTCTTCTCCGATCTCCCACTTGCTGGCTGGCTAACCGGAGGCTTTGGTGGGAAGCTGGCAGGGAGGGCGTGGGGGCCGCGGTTCCAGGCGGTCGGTCTCGGATGCTGGAGGCGATGCAAGCGCAGCCTCAGCCAGCCACATACGGCCTGTTCTCCATGAATTAAAACCAACTCCCCCCCCCGCTTTCCTTTAAAACCGATCCTTGCTGGTAGTTTTTACTGCACCTTACGTTAGTGAATTCCAGTGTTTAAACTATATGGTGTGGCAGTCTCTCTCTCTCTCTCTCTCTCTCTCTCTCTCTCTCTCTTTCTCTCTGTGTGTGTGTATGTGTGTGTGTGTGTGTGTGTGTGAGAGAGAGAGAGAGAGAGTCAGAATCCTTCTGTCTGATCTGCCCTGAAACTTTCCATTGCAGAATCTCAAGAGGTCTTTGGAGTCCAGGAGTGAGCAAGTGCCACATTGGGTGTTGGCTGGGTGATCAGAGCCACCCCCCTCCTGTGCGTACGCACATGCACACACCTGAGCATGAAGGGCTGCAGAGATTTAATCCTTGCCCACTTGTTGAATTTTATAAATCAGGGAGAGGACGACCTCTTCCATCCCTGAATGATGGCTCCTGGGGACTGTTGCCTCTTATGTGCTCCTCACAGGTGATCTTCACTCCTTTAGGGAGAAGGAGGGAGGGCAGCCCATGAGAGATGGGGCAAGACTCTGCTGGGGAAAGGGCTCTGGAGTGTGCAGAGCCCAGGAAGGCCTTCCCGCTTCTTTCGCAAGAGAAAGGTGAGCAGAGGGCTTCCCTGAGCCCTTTGGAATGGCTGACCCCTCAGGTGGGAACCCATGAAAGGAAGAAGGGGCCCCACGTGCTGAAGGCCTCCTGAAGGGAAGAGGCCAGGCGTTGCGGCCGTTGCCTCTCGGACCTGAACGGTCACTTTGGTCGGCGAGGAGGTGGAGGAGGGAAGAGGTTCCGAAAGTCTGTGCCACCTTCAACTCCAGCTTTGTGGCAGAAGCACTGGCAGAAATCATTAGATTAAAAAGCCATTAAACATCCGCTGGTATCAAAATAATTAGAACTGTTTAAAAAAAAACCCAAACCCACCTTGAAATAGATGTAAGCTTCCATAAAATTATATGTAGCGCCCAAAATGAAAAACCCTTCCCTGCTCAATTAACTGCTAAGAAAGGATGGTCTTCCCTCGTCTCCAGAAGGGCAAGAAGGAGGGGGCCCACCTCACCTCTTGGGAAGTTTGTTTGCTTTTATTAAATCTGTATTTCATGTACAAAAAGGGGTCACTTCAGAAAGAACTTGTAACCGTATAAACTACAATTAGGAAAAAAAGATAATTCAGCTACATTTCAGAATTCAAGGTATATTTCAAAGCCTTAATGCCAGTTATGACATTGCTGCCTGTCAGGGTCTCTTACCCACAGGATGATGCCAGCATAAAATTCTTCCCCACTCTGAGCCATTCCCCCATGTTTTCTGTTGTCCTGGGACATCATTGGTCTTCAGCCTACCGTAATTCCCACTAAGCATCCCCGTCCTTTTTTTTTTACCTCAGCCCTGACCCTAAAGGATGGCCTCGCCTTCCGCCCGCCCGCCTGCCTGCCTGGCGAAGGCAGCCTCCAGACAGGACGGTGCCTCGTTCCCCAAGGAAGACCCTGGTCCTAAGAACTCGAGCGGGGCCTGTCGCCCCCAGGCCAGAGAGACGCCTCGCCTTTCCTTGGGTGGCACGGTTATCGTCTTGTTTGTAGGCGTGGGGGGTTCCTAACGTTGCTCGATGGTTGAAATAAAAAGGAGGGAGCCGTGTGGTCCTTACACCTGCCAGTTCCTGCATGGCTGGAGACCAGGGCAACACAAAAAGCCCAGCGGTCTCCCTCCCTTTGGGGTCAAGTCAAAGTCAAACGAGTCTTTATCTAGCGTTTGCGGTCCTCGCATTCAGCGGATTGTGTCGGTGCTTTGCTTATCTAATAGCAGCGGCGCAGAGAGATGAGGTCAGAAGGACTTCCCATGTTTTCACTTCAGGGAGAAAGGAAATGGAATGCAGAAAACCATTTTGCATGGAAAATACTTGGACGCATACTCTGACCGACTGCTTCCTCCCTAAGCCCTGTTCAGTAGAAAGAATGAACAAGGGCTGCTTGTTGTTATGATCCGTGCACTTCTTTCCTCATCGCCCAGTGTGGTCAAGGAGGGCTGAAGGGCTGCGGGGGGGGGGGGGTTGAAGAGTTTTGCCCCAGATTTGTTGGGAGGGTCCAAGGTCTTTCGATGAATTACAGATGAGGATTAATTTGTCAAAAGATTGTCCTTCAGGGCAGGCGTGGGGCAGGCATGTGATTTAGTCAGCTTTGCTGTCAGGCGTTTCTTCTGGAGCTTGAAGCCGCTTAGTCTGTCGTTGGCTTCAGCAGCTTTTCCTGAGAGAAGATTGTCTTCTGGAGTTCATTCAGTCTTATCGTAGGGAGTACGCTAAGTTCAAAAATCACCCCAAATACCTCTTCTGGCTTTTGAATGGAAGAATTATTTGCAAACATGGACGAATGGTTCCTAATTAAACAGAGCAAATTTCTAGAAGAGAAATGTTTTTCTGTTCATGTGAAATGCTGGAAACATCTAGATTGATGCTTTTAAGCTTTTCAGTGCCTTCTGTTATGTAATGATTTAAAACACGATCGAGTCCGTTTTCCGTGCCCCTCCCCCCCTTTTTCTTCTTCTTCTTCTTTTTTTATAAAGTATCAGTCAGTAGTAGGGATCCATGGCTCCAGTGTCCCTCTTTCTCTTCTGAAGTCAAGTGTAATTGTGCGGCAACCCCCTGGGCATTTTTCACCGGTGGAATATTGGTGGAATATGGACAGCCATCTGGTTCCCAGTCGGTGGAGCCACCGGGAGTTTTGCCCCGGGTGGGGCAGCAGGTCCACAGGATTGCTTCATATCCGTCTTTGTGCACTGCCCTAGCCTATGCCTGCACTTCCATTTCTTCACACCGGTCCCAGTGTCCTCTTGCCCGTGGAAGCCTGTGCCCTCCTCCGGCTGGTTAGGGTCTCACTGTTTACCTCATTGAGGCTTGGCTGAAGTCTAGTTAGGGAGCCCCACACACCCACAACAAGGCCGCCAGGTTCTGTCGGGGTGCCATTACAGGTTTCTCCACAGGGAGAAAAGCACGTTCTCACCTATTAAACCCTTACATTATGGTGCCACATCTGTTTCTTTGAACTGTGTCTGTTCTCCAGTCTCCAAATGTATGTCATAGAATCATAGAAATCATAGAAAAGTGAAGTTGCAAGGGGCCTACGAGGCCACACAGTCCAACCCCCCCCTGCTCAAGGCAGGAATGTCATCAAAGCATATCTGCCAGGTGATTATCCAAATTTTTCTTGAATGCCTCCTGTGTGGGAGCATTCACCCACTCCTGAGGTCACTGGCTCCACTGTCATGACGTGTTTGTAAAATTTCCAAGGCTCCTTCAGTTAAAAAAACAAACAAAACAAAACTGTGGCACCTTTGGGTGTCTGAAGAAGTGGACCGGATCCACAAATTCTCCCATTGAAGTATAACAGTTGGCCTTTAAGGTGCCAGAGTATTATTATTTTTTTTTCTTTTTGACTGGATGTGCAGCTCCAGTTTACAATTTAGTTATGCAGGCTGCATGTTGTCTCTGCCCCAGCAAGCTGTGCACTCAGTTTGCTGACCTCAGGAGGATGGAAGGCTGAGTCAACCTCCAGCCAGCTACCTGAGCCCATTTTTGATTGAACCCAGGCTGTGAGCAGAGGCTAGACTGCAGTACTGCAGCTCCAGACATTCCTGGAAGAAGAGAAGTGTCTTGATCCACTTCGGCAAGGTACCGAGACGGCACTGGTTGCGTTGCTTGATGGCCTTTTAAGGGCAGGCCAGTGGGAGGATCTATCCTGTTGGTGCTCCTGGACCTCTGTGTGGCCTTGAGTTGGCTCTGAGATTGTATTCGGAGAGTTCAATTTGGGGATGAGTTGTTGGCCCCCTGGACCCTCAATTGCGGGGTGCCCTAGGGGCCATCAGTATCCCCAGTGCTCTTTAGCAAACTGTGAAGCTGTTAGAGGAGGTCTTCAGGAGATTTGGAGTGAGTTGTCATCAGTATGGTGATGATACACGACTCTATCTCTCCTTTACCGCCCCTGCAGTGGATGCTGCCTGGACGCTTGAGCAATGGCTGGCTTTTGATCTGGAACAGACCAGGGCCAGCAGGCTCCAACTGAACCCGGACAAGACGGAGAGTCTGCCCCTAGGGGGAAAGGCCTGGATTGGTTGGAGGGGATTNCCCCCCCCCCCCCGGACTGGATGGCGCTGTCCTCCCATTTAGGGACCAAGTCTGCAACTCGGCTGTACTTCTGGGCCCAGTTCTAGTCTTGGGACTCCCGGATTGCTGCAGCTGTGTCCAGAACTGTGTCTCAAATGGGCGGAGGCAGATGACCCAACGCTGCCCGCATCTAGAGGAGGGAGCCCTCAGGACACTGGTGCCTGCAGTGGCTGATTACTGCAAGGCTCTCTGTGTGCTGGGGCTTCCCTTGGGGCTGACCCAGAGACCGGCAGCAGGTCCAGATTGCAGTGGCCGGGCTGGTGGCCAGTGGGAGGAAGTTTGGTCGCCTCTCCCCAGTTCTTGCTGACCTGCAATGACTACCCCTGTGGCATTCTGAGTAAGGTTCAAGATTCAGACAATCACCTGCAAACCCCTTGACCGCTTGGGACCTTGCTCCTTGTCGGAATGCCCTTTCTCAGGGTCACCTGCCCGCTCCACCAGGTCCTCCTAGCCAGCGCTCCTCCACAAGAAGCAGGGCCTTCTTTGCTGCTGCAGGGCCAGCGCCCGTGGAGCTGCGTCCGGCCCCCTCCTTCCCAGTGTTTGCAAGGCCCCTGGAAACCCGTACTTCTCAAAGAGGCCCTTCATTGCAAACCTGCCTCAGGTTCTGCCTTTTACCTGCAAATTACACACCTCTTGTCATTTTTGTCTGTGTTATTGTCTGTTTGTTTTTACTTTATTCTTGTGGTTTGTTGTGTCTTTTTTACCATGTTGCAAACTGCCCAGAAGAGTCCATTGCACCAATGGGGCAGTATAAAAATAAGATAAAAACGTTTGTACAGGCTCACAGGGCTACTTCTTTGACGACTCCTTCCGATCCCTGATGTCTTCAAGGCCTATGTGCCCAAAGAGGTTTGGAGTGGCTTATTATCGGGGGGGGGGGGGCAGCTCCCAGATCTCCTTTCAGGTCAGAGGCTGAACTCTGAGTGACTGGTGGGTCCACTCAAGCTCAGTACTGGACAGATGAAAAGACACTAAAAGGAGGCCTGTTTGCTGAGCAGGAAACGCTGGACAGTCCTTTCAAAAGCAGTGGCTGGACACTGTCCCCGCTTTCCCCCCCCCGGCCCCCAGGCAACCAAGAGGAAATCAAAGTGTGCTGCTCTTATTACACACTCCCACCCTCTGTGTGCTTAAAGCCTTCCCTGGGAGGTTTACAGTTTCATTATGCAGGCAAGACATTGCCTGCCTGCCCCCTTCCCCCCCCCCGAAGATGGGTACTGAAGGCCGAGTCAGCCTCAAGCCGGGATTGAACATGCGTCGTGAGCAGGTCTTGGCTGCTGCAGGGCGGCCGTTTGACCCCTGCGCTGCTGCGAGGCTCCAAGGGTGGGAGGTCAGAGGGCCAGCGGGTGGTCGAGGGAGGCCCGTTGCTGCCACCGCCGTTTACCCAGCATGGGATGTCGTTGCAGTGTTTGATTTCTAGGCGCTGTTTTCATCCCAAAGGGTGAATAAAGGTTGTGGGGGAAGTTGTGTGTGTGTGTGTGTTTTTCCTATTGCAGGCGTTGGGTTTTTCTTCCTTTCCTGCCCCAAATCTAATGCTGAGCCTTGATGATGATGATAAAAATAATCTCAGAACTGCAAGGCTGAAAGGGACCCTCTGGGTCCTCAGGTCCAGCCCCTGTCAAGGAGGCCACGTGGGGGGGGAGGGGAATCGAACTCTCCACCTCTGGCTCCACCGCCAGAGACCTTAAGCCGTGGAGCCATCCGGCAGTTCTCACCTCCTTTTTCTCTCTCCATTTCCAGAGCGCTCTTTGACTACGACAAGACCAAAGACAGTGGCCTTCCCAGCCAGGGACTCAACTTCCAGTTTGGCGACATCCTCCATGTCATCAATGCTTCCGACGACGAGTGGTGGCAGGCGAGGCTGGTGATGCCAAGCGGGGAGAGCGATGAAGTTGGCGTCATCCCCAGCAAGCGCCGGTAGGCTTCCTGCCGTGGCCCATCTCCCTGTTTCAGCTTTGGATCTGTGTCTGGTGTCATTAATGGACCGGATGAACGTTAAATAAATTGAAATTTTATCCAGAAAAAAAAACAGAGCTGCTCCTGGTCACTGAAAAGGCAGATCAAGGAACAGGGGTGCCTCTTGTGCTGGGGGGGGTGGCACTCCCTCTGAAGACCCAGGGGCACAGCTTGGGGGCATCCCTAGAGTCCTCTCTGAGCCTGGAGGCCCAGGTCTCGGCAGCGGCCAGGAGTGGACAGTTGGCACAATTAAAACTCGTGTGCCAGCTGCACCCGTTCCTGAAGAGCTCTGATGTGGCCACAGCGACACATGCTTTATTTATTTATTTTATTTTATTTTATTTTATTTTATTTCTATCCCGCCTATCTGGTCATATTAGACCACTCTAGGCGGCTAGTTCCATCCCTGCTGTGTTACTGTAATAGGCTCTTGGTCAGGCTGCCTCTGGAGAGTGTTCTGAAACTTCAGAGGGTCCAAAATGCAGCAGCCAGATGAGAGGAAAGTCAGGATAAACATATTCTAAATAAATAACTCTCAAAGCTCCCATTGCAGGGGGAATGGCTGGTTTTTTGTTTTGCTTTTTTGCATCCATGTGCTGGAGAAACACTGGCTGTTTCTTCTCTCATCCAAATTACAACACAAGGAAGAACTCAGGTGTGTGTGTGTGTTTGTAAGAGAGAGAGTTGCCAGATGCAACTGTGAGTGGTCAGGGGCCCTCTCCTCTGGCAAATGTCCTTGAAACACCCCCCCCGAGACAGACAGACAGACAGGCACGTGTGTGTGCGTGTGTGCGCGCGCGCACACACACACACACACACACACACACACACACACACACACGGGGCAGGTGCACCTTGTCGAAGGGCAGGGAATAGGGCAGCTGCCTGGCTTTTGGCACCTTTCCTCCAAGGAGGAGGAAGGGCCTCGCTACTCGGTTGGTGCGCCCCGGCTGATTTCCACTTTAGCCTCTGGGATTGGGGTGGGTCCCTTCTCCCCAAATGAGCCCCCCCAAGCTGCCCCCCTCCCCAGGCCCGGCACCCCACTGCAGGCTTAACAGTGGGAAACAATAGGTGTTCTTTCCGTTCTTTCCTGGCAGGGTTGAGAAGAAAGAACGAGCTCGCTTGAAGACGGTGAAATTTAATTCAAAAGCAAGAGGCGACAAAGGGGTGAGTGTGGACCGTGGACTGCTGAGGACAAACTCCTTCATATGGATAACACGGGCCTCGGTGGGGTTTGATGTGGGGTTTGCCACTGATGAGGGAAGCCGCCCATGGCAGCTGTGGCCAGGATTGACTCCTGGAGCTTTTATTGAGGAGGTTCTCTGTGCTGCGGCTCCGTTTCTAATGCCAGCTCCTTCCAAAAGGGCAGTTCATAGGAGCGGGAAAAGGCCTTCCCAGAACATGGACGCCCCCTTGCCCCACAGGGCAGGTGGCCTCCAGGATGGGGAGATTCCAGAGGCCTTTGTTGCTGTTCTGCTTTTCTTTCTCCAGTGTGGAGACACTCAGAGCAGCATCAACAAATGGATAGCTCATTTTAAGAAATAACAATTTAAAAAAGCAAGAAACCAAATAATTGGGAAAGAAATGCAAAGGCAATCCTAGGCCGGAAAACAGCATTTAAGAAAAGGTGCTTCTGTACTCGGGCAAACCCCAGAGTGACACTAACTCTAGGGCAAACCCTAACCCTTAGTGCCCCCCCCCCACACACACACACGAGGGCTTGATCACACCTGCCAAAAGAACACCACTTGTAGCAATTTGGCCGTTATTTAGATCATTTCATCATTTTCTGTTCACATGACACATGGCCAACATCAGTTCATTTGCCCTAGCAATCAGGAGGGTTGTTTTAAATTGGATCAATTGTGTCACTTCATTCCTTATTGTTTCAGTGTGTGTATGAATGTTGCTGTGGATTTATTTCCTTTGCGAAGGTCAGGTTTCTGGGCTCTGTGGCCACTTTTTAAAAAAAAAATTTAAGGGATGTTGATAAATTACTAGTTGCCACCCTGCCACTGCTGCCACAGAACCAACAGACTTCCCTCCTCCCTTGTGAGTCAGGGGGTTTCCTGCTTTGAATTGTAAAGAAAGTGCTGCATTTTTTAACCTTGCTCTTCACAATGCAAGTCTTTTAAAACCCGCTTCCTCCTCCCGATGCTGTCCAAAAGAGAAATGAAATTATAGGGAGAGATAAGGAAAAGGGGACGAGTGAGTAAAGGAGGGAAGGGAAAAGCGGAGGAGCAGAGAAGGCTCCTACTGCTTCATCTTTGTTAATTTTTTTTAATGGGAGGCGACCACCCCAAGAAACAGTAGAGAAAATGAATTGATACAAAATTAAAGAGCAGCGTAGCCTGTTATAATAGTTCAAATAGAAAGAAATGAGATACATACACACACACGCGCGCAGACACACACGCACCAAGTGACCAGAGGTATGAAATGCACGGGTGTACCTGGGGTTCTTTTCTCACGTGTGATCATGCCTGGGAGTCTCCCTGAGGTATTTTGAGTGAGAGGCATCCTTTTCTGAGCCTAGTTCCAAGGCTCCTTCTCCCTGTATGTGTGTGTGTGTGTGTGTGTGTGTGTTGGGGGGGGGAGGCAGCATTTTGCCCTAGCTGCCTTGGGGAGCAAGGCCGGAGGGAAAGAAAGAAGTTCCTCTGTGACTTCAGCAGTTTATCTCTGTGTGAGATTTTGTGGGTCACCGTCCACCTTCCTCAGAGGCTCCATCCCTTCCTCTGGAAATTGATTCTGATCCAGAAAAGTTCCCACTGAAATACGTCGGTTAGTCTTTGAGGTGCTGCAGGGCTTTCCCTGCATGTATGGAAACAGACCGACCCGGAAGAACGGTGCCGAGTCACCTGAGGCGGAAATGCCCTTTTCCTGAACTTGAGGGTCGAGGAGAGAGGGAGGGAGGCTCTGGTTTGAAGTGGCCCACCAAGCACCATCCTGAGATGATTTTCTCAAACCTGAGATGATTTCTTCCCCCCCAGCCATCTCTGCCCTTCCCAGGGATTTCCTGCTGCCTAAAAAGCCTGCCTCAGACCCTGTTGGGAGCAGCAGCTTTTAGAAAGGAAAGGAGATGAGGCTGTGCAGTCACACGGTTCAGGGCTTGGTTGCAGGGCGTCCCTGGGTGCAGACGTGGCAGTGGCAGCTGCAGTCTGCCGGGAAGGCTGCTAAAGGTGGGACTCAGGCAGAATTCACTCACAAACACACAGAGTTTCATTTGGGGTCATTTAAAACGAAACAGCACAGGACCATTGCCTGAAGGGTTGGTTGATAAACCCGGGGAACTGGCATTGCCCCGTGTTCAGGTGCAGGGGGGGCTGATTTCACTCCAGATGGCCAGAGTGCGAGGCAGGAGTGGCTCGCATGGCTCCTGGCTTCTCCACGTGGCTCGCAGGAGCAGGATAAACCCAGGGTGACACGTGCAGGCAGGCATGCTGTGTACCTTTGGAGGCCGTGCTTCCTTTGGGGCCGTCCTGTGCACACGGAGGCCCCGGGGTCTCCAGCCCTTCCTTCACCGTCTGGTTGCCTTGAAGGTCTTGCTTTGCCCTTTGGCCGCAGCCTAGTTTGCACACGCCCTGTGCCTGCCCGTGACCTAATACCACTCCCAGGCCATGCATGAGATCCTGAATGGAGACCTGACTACGCTTGCCATTGAGAGAGGACTGCCTCCCCTCCCCTCCCCTCCCCTTCCCTTCTCTCCCTGCACCAACCCCCAGCTTTTGCACCGCCTGCGCCTGCCTGCGTCTCTGTGCATGTCTGCCTTTGTCGCTTGACTCCTTAGGGTCCACCTGTCATGGGAATGGGATGGCCTTGTCTTCGTGGTCACCCCTCACCTCCTGAGACCACGTGAGGCCGAGAGGCGAAACGGGAAGAGTTTAGGGAGCAGAAGGACGGAAAGCTTCGGTGGTGGGCTTTCCTCTCCTAGAACGCCGTGCGTCTCCTAGAGGGAGAGACTCCTACCCCTTCCGGGCTCGCACTCCTTCCTTATCTGGGTTAAGACAGAGATGCTGCCACCCGATGCGTCTGGCAGAAAAGGAGCGTGGCCAGGGGTCATCCTCCGGCCTTTTCCCCACATCCTCTTCTAATCGCCTCATACTAATGAGCTATGTCTGAGAAAAAGCTGCGGGAGTTTTAATAACATTAATCTGCACTTAGAACTAAACTCTCAGCTCTCCTGCCTGAAGCCTCAGCCTTTGAACTCCATAATTAAAGGCACAGTGAGTCTGAGGCCCTTCGTGCTTCTGGTTTCCGTTTGCCTTTTGCTCACTCAGCCCTTCTCTGCCTGCAGGCGGCCGGCGGGCGAGCCTCTTGCTCTTCAGAACGGTCACAACCCCCCCACGAGGAGGGACTAGCCACCCCCACACCGCTTCCGTTGCCTGTGGGGGGCCATGATTGAGACCCAGGGCTAGGGGCCGTGCTGGGGCCTTGGTCTCCTCATGAGAAAGGAGGGAGTGGAATCTGGGCAAGCTCAAGGTCCTGCCCACGGGGTGTGGATTCCCTGAACCGGGCAATCCACTGGCCGATGGGTGGGGTGTGTGTTTTGCAGAGCAGCACCTCCTGGGTGAGGCCGTTCTTCTCCAGGGCAGGGAGGGAGAGGGTGGTGGGGCTTTGAGCCCAGGGGTTCCTCTGCCAGGCGAGGGCCCTGTCCCAGCCCCTCTGCTCTCCCCCAGGGACCACTGGTCATTATGGCTGAGAGCAACAGCCTCCTCCGGTCCCAGTGCAGGCACTCACTGGCAAAATGTGAATGCCAGCAGGAGGCGGCCAGATCCCTTGGACCGTAAGAGAGGAGGAGGAGGAGGAGGAAGAGAGCTCCTGTGGCCTGATGATGCTGAAGGAGGAGGCTCCCACCACTGCCACCTCTGGCCCAGCCGGTCACCCAGGTGGCTGTGCTGGGGCCACAGCTGTTCTGGACAGCCCTCTCCAGTCTTACATAACATAAGAACATAAGAAGAAGAAGAGCCCTGTGTTGGATCAGGCCAAGGGCCCGTCTTAGTCCAGCTTTCTGGATCTCACTGTGGCCCCACCAGATGCCTCTGGAAGCACCTGAGACCACAAGAGCCCTGTCACCTGACACCCCTCTCTTGCGTCTGGCCTTTTGCGGTCCCTTCCTTTTAAGCCTGGAGATGACACCTCCCCATCGTGGCTTGTAACCGGCGATGGCCTTTTCCTCCAGAAATCTGTCCAGTCTCCTTTGAAAGGCCTCTAGGCTAGATGCCATCCCCACATCCGGTGGCAAGGAGTTCCACAGACTAACAACACGCTAGGTAAAAAAAAGATTTTCTTTTGTCTGTTCTCACTCTCCCCGCACTCAACTGGAGTGGATGTCCCCCTGGTTCTGGGACTGCATGAGAGGGAAAAGAGCTTCCCTCTCGCTCCACTTTATCCACCCCCTGCCTTGTTTTATACGTCTCAATCATCAACCCGGCAGCCCCATGCCTTCCAGGGGATCTGCAAGCCCCACAAGTTGCAGCCAGTGTGGATAACAATGAGACAAGATGGAAGTTGTAGTCCCAAACATCTAAAGGACAAGAATGTTAGGAAAGGTGGGCAGTGAGGTGGTCAGCCTCTCGGGTTCCCTCTCCCTCTTCCTCTCCCCCCATGAGACTGTCCTCAAGGAAACCTGTCTTCAAGGTAGTGAACGCTTCTGCTCCCTCCCTCCCTGAGAATTCAGAAGGAGAACGAAATGGCCATTGCAGCCTGCCGTGCCCTGCCTGCTGGGCCAGAGAGGAGGCTGTTCCCAGCGTGGCCAAGGCCCCCGTGTGTGGGGCTGCCCCACACCTGCCCAAAAGCTGCTTCGTGCTGCTGAGCAAGAGGCTCTGCCGCTGCTTCTGCTGCTGCTGCCACTGGGCGCTGTGGGTCCTGGAAGCCGGCCTCCCCCAAGGAGCGGGGCACTGGGGGACACCCCAGACGCCCTCCGACCTCCCTCTGTTTTGCCCTCCTCCCTTCTCTTCTTCAGCAGTCATTCAATGACAAGCGTAAAAAGAACCTCTTTTCCCGAAAATTCCCCTTCTACAAGAACAAGGACCAGAGTGAGCAGGAGACCAGTGATGTGGACCGTAAGTACGTGGGCGGGGGCCGTGCACACGCAGGCGCAGACCCGCCAGGCGACGCCCTCCGACCTCCCTCTGTTTTGCCCTCCTCCCTTCTCTTCTTCAGCAGTCATTCAATGACAAGCGTAAAAAGAACCTCTTTTCCCGAAAATTCCCCTTCTACAAGAACAAGGACCAGAGTGAGCAGGAGACCAGTGATGTGGACCGTAAGTACGTGGGCGGGGGCCGTGCACACGCAGGCGCAGACCCGCCAGGCGGCTGGCCTGGCTCCGAGAGGGTTCCAAG